TAGAGGGATTATCATCTTCAGATTCCAGGCTGTTATTTTCCTACTTTTCAGAAAACTTCTCTTTATTAATAAAGTAGAAGTTGTCTAATATGAATTCATTCATCTTCCCTTTGATCCTCATCTCCCCTTTGTGTTTCACTCAGACTTACTTTCTGTTTTCCTTTGTTAGAGAATAAGGCACTTTTGTTCCTTTCCAAGGCTAACTTGAAATTTCATGTTAATACTATGTCTTCTAAGATAGTTTTATAGAACTAAAATTTCTTCTGCCTTATCATTGGCTTATTAGTTGCTTTGAGTTCAGCTATTTGTTGTATCTTTCATGTGGACCAGGTAAACATGTGATGAGGGTAGGAGATGTGGAAAGAAGGAGATTATAAAAGATTTTTTTTGTAGGCTCTGCAGATAGAATAGATTGCCCTCACTCCATAGCTTTCTTCCTTAGCTGTTTTAGTCTTATAAGCACAGCTGTATTGAAAAGAGTCTAAAAGGATGTTGTAACTTCATATAAAGTTCATTAGCCCTTTTAAATTTACCATTTTCTGGGTTTGTTTGTTTGTTTGTTTGTTTGTTTGTTTATTTATTTATTTATTTTGTATCTGCATATTAGTAGTTTTGTGTATTAGCAGTTAATAACTCTTAATAGTTTTGTTTCAGTTAGTTTTGTTTCAGTTATGAGTAAAATACTCATTTAATATTCAGCAGTTCTTTGAAGTTCTCTTATTATCCCTGGTTTACAGTTGACTATATAGGCTTTGAAATTCTAAAGAAATGAAACTTTAGAAAGGTAAGTAATTTGGCAAGGGCACAGTACTAGTGAATAAGTAATGCAGCTCATGTATCTGTAGCCAGTACATTATTGCTATTCTTGCAACTCTCCTCATTTGATTTTGATGAAATATTCCCTTGATTCTCTTGATTCTTTTCCTATTTCTTGTGCTACATTTTCTCTCTTTACTGATTGGTTTTCCAGTTCCTTAAGTAGGTGAGCCCTAAGTTTCTGTCCTTGATTTTTTTTTTTATCTCTTTTAATGATGCTACTTCCTAGAATAACCTCTTCACACGTATCTTCAAAATCCATGAATTGAGATAATTACATGTTTATTTAGACTTTTTCTTTGAAACTTGCAAAGCATTTTAGCATGTGCACCTGTTAATCATCTTCAAGACAGATGTTTAAAACTTTGAAGCCCAAAGGATACCCACTTGTCACTTTGTAGTTAGTACCACCATTATTGTCAAACAACCAACCTTCTCTTGGGGTCCTCTACTTTCAGTTGCTGTGTGTTTTCTATTTCCTTCTGAATACAGTCTTTCCTTCTTTTCCCATTATCATTGGTCTAGTTCACATCTTCATTTATATTAGAGTAAAATGTCCTCTTGCCTTTTTTCACTCCGTCTGCTGTATGATTATCTAGATTATTTCCCTGCTTTGATCTTTCCATTGCCTTACATAAAAAAAAAAAAGAAGTACACCCTTACCCACATGTTCATATTTTACAGGTTCATTTTTGCTTATAGAATACAGTTCAATTTTCTTATCTTGGCTTTTCTTATAAAGGCCGTTAGTAGTTTTTCCAGAATTATTTTCTTATGTGCTATCTTAAACAAACTATTGTCAGTATGTTTGTCTCACTTGATAATTTCAGTAACATACTCCCTCCCTTCTTTACATGCAGTGATTCTTAAAAGGAATTAGTGAGAGTTTGCTCACTAAAACATCAACTTTCCATTTCTGTTCTTTTTCCTTGGAGACTGTGTTATGTCCCTGGTTGAGAGTCATTGCTTTAATCAAAGACTACTGTTTATTATTCTCTGCACATGCTATGTGGTTTCTATTTACTTGACCTTGTATAGGTTGTTTCTTCTGCCTAGAATTCCATTTCAGGCTCACTATTGAAATCTTGTTCCTTAAGGTGTGGCTCACATGCTACTTCTCTTCTAGAAATATTTCCCTTTCTAATAGGGATAATTGCTTCTTCATCTACTTTTCCACAATTTTGTCTATTCCTTTGTAAATAATGCCTTGAGGTTTTGTCCAGTGTGCTTTCGTTTCATAGGTCTTAAGCTTGTTTCCAAACATCTGTCATAAAATAGTAACTGAAGCATTTATTGAATGGAAGAATAAAAAGACAGGAAAGGGAAGAGTGATATTAAAAAGAATGGAAGTAAAAACACATTTCAAGTTTTTTTGTCCTGAGAGACAGTGAAATTCATACTGCCTTGAAATGGAGAAATAATTTTAGGAATGATGATAATGAGCTCAGCTTTGCATTTTGTATTTCAGGTTGTTCACTCTGTTAGAAATATGTCAAAGGTAGCAACAAGTACTGGAATGAAAGTTTTCGTTCTAAACTTGGTGATTTGGTTGTTTTCTGTATAAGGCATTCAGAAAGAGAAGAATATAAATGGAGAAGGTGTTGAAGATTTGAGCAGTAGAGGATAAGCTGATAAAATAATTTATCATAGGGTAGGTATCAGTAAAAAAGAAAAAAGAAAAAAGGTTTGTGTGTGTGGGAAGCCAAAAGAAGAGAAGTAGCAGGATTATGAACTGTAAAGCCAAAAGGAGAGTTTTAGGTTGAAGGGGCTGAGGAATTGTAACATTGAAAATGTAGTCTAGAGGACTTAATTCTACACTTTCTTAACCTATGGATGATCTTGACATGCTAATCTCTACTGGCTTCATTTTCCTGATCTCTAAAATGCATATTTGTAGCATTTGCACCTTCTATCTTTGTGATTCTCAGATATTACTGTGTTCCTGGAATATTGAAAGGTTAAAGAGAAAGCATTTACAGCCTTATTAAACCACTGTGCAAGTATTCCCATAAACAGTAATGAATACATGTAGGAGTGATTGTATTTCATAGCACTTTAAATGTAAATTATAGTCAACTCTCAATTTCCTTTTAAGTGATCATCTGCAGTGACTTGCTGCCTCCTCCCCCTCCCAGGTCTCAGGCTACTGAAAATAGGGCTGTGAAAAGCACAGTGGGGTGAGTGAATGGTTTGCATGCATGTTTATCTGTATCTGACTATCACCAAGCTAACTACAGTCCACTCTCAGTTATCTCCATTTTAGAAAGTGAATAATGGTGGAAGCATGCTAAATATGTAATCTAAATATCATTATTTAGACTGGGAAGATTCTATATTCTTTTTCCCTCCCCACAATAGACTGATACTTCTTTTGCATTTTATTTGTATTATTGGTATCAATTTTTGTATCATAAATGCTACTAGCATAGTGGAAGAAAGTAAACAGGTTAATATTTATTAGGCAATCCACATATAAATAATTGAGAGTTGACTGTTATGCTTTTTGGATCATCCATTGTTTTGTATTATCTGTGCTTTTTGTTAGTATGGCCAGGTTAAAGCTGAATAACTACTTAAACATTATAGCTCTATGATGAATGTAATTATGAGGTTTTGCAAATGCCAAAATAAATTGAAAATAATTATGTAAAAAGTAGTTTACTATAGCAATCCAAAGTCACAGGGTTAAAGATAATCGAAATATAAGTCCATTCTTAAAATTCCATTTATAAAATTGTCTAGCCAGACAGATTGCATAAACTGAACAACATACCTGGTAATGATAAAATTTATATAAGCTATAAAATTGATGATGTGCTCAGGTTTGAAACATAGCCTGTTTAAAAAGAGTAGATTGAGTTTAATGAGAAATGTAAAAAAGAGTTTTTAGCTTTATTTCCTGGATTTCAGAAAATCTGGCTCCTGCAATTACTTTTCTATTTTTTAATCCAATATGTTGAAGAATTTGAATTTGTGGTTTTGTTAATGTTGGTTAGCATATTTTTGATGAATATATAAGAAGATTAGTAAGAAGCGTAATTCTTGGCTTCAAATAATTTATAGTTAACATATATCTATCAGTGAACAGTTTAAGTCAGTATTATTTGAAACACTTGCCATTTATTTTAATAAAGGAATCAGAAGCCAGCAGGATGCAGAAAAAGTGGAATATCAGTAAGGAATAACATAGTGGAAAGACTTCATAGGAAGACTTCAAAGTCTTCATCTGAGACTTTTACATTTGAATAATTAATGTTCAGGATCAGGGCTTTCCAAATCATAACTTAAATATTTTGTGAACTAACATATTCCTGGCATGTTATTCAATACTTGAAGATAATGTTGAGCAAAAAGTGGGTATGAGTTCTGTGTGTAATTTACTTAACTGTTGAAGGCTGATTATATTTTGAAATAGAGCTGTTTGACCTTTGAAGGTAGTGCTATACTAAACTTGAGAGATTTTAGGTATATTGTGAAGTTAATTGTGTGCTTGTAACTCTGAGTCTTCCTAATGTTGATTGCATTCTAAAGCCTAGCATATATGATTTTTTTCTTCCATTGTTTCATAGTTTATGTGTCTTCTCTTTCTCCTTCATTAATACTGCATGTTCAAAGGGTTGTGTAAATTTATCATCAAACTATTTTCTAGAAGTATGCAGAGACTATAAATGGAATGGTTAGTGTTTTTATTTTCCATAGTAAAGTGATCATATTTTCTAATCTGAAAATTTAAATATGTACCCTTGATAGTGAACTAGAGTGTTTGAAATTAAAATTATTCTGAAAAAACATATGTTTTCATTGCCAACTTCAGGTACTCTGTCCAGCCCTCTAGTTATTTGGGTAAAGGATAAGCAATATTTGGGGAAATTATTGCCATATTAAAGCAGCAAAATGAAACTTGAGTTGTCACTTGTAGGAATTTTAGTAGTTTTGTTCAGAATCCAGTATAATTTCATGCATTTCTTATAATGAATAAAGAGTGAAGAGACACAGAAGCTGTAAACAAAGAAGATTGCCAAGTAGTTTAGTTACTGAGAAGGAACATCTTGCCAGATAAAAGTATATTTAACTGTTTTTAAATGTGTGCACATACATATTTTTATCAGTCGTTTTATACTTTGAGAAACCACATCTTAAAATAGTATTGCTAATTATTTCCATGCTTAGTGTTAATCCCTATATAACTAAAACTTTTAATTGCCCTGTCTTTTTCCCCACTCTTAATCCTGTATTACACACACTCTAACCTTCAACCATACCACCATCACTACCAGTCCCCTCCCCCAAGAAAAAAAAAATAGAGGAAAAAAGAAAAAGGAAAGCTCTGAAGGGAATAGAAATGCAGAAAGAGTGAGAAGACTTCAGTGAGTTGGAGGTAGGTGAGCCATAAACTCTAACACTTAGCTGTATGGCAATTTTTTTTTTTTTTCTGTATATGACAAAGTGGCAAATGGAGTATTGTGGAATGTTTTATTTAGCACATGTGTTGTAGGTAAGTTTTTAATCCTATCCTGTTATATGATGATAGTATGGAATCATGAAAATGAGGTGTTTGAATATAAATATTTTCTATTCTGTAGTCTGAATGTCTAGTATTATTTATTTATTTTTAACTGAGGTAATATTAGGATACCCCCATCAAGGATGACCACCAGAGCTTATCACCACCAGCTCATCCATACTTTATCACTATAGATCATTGTGCTTCCTTTCTTCCCTCTTCATTTTTCCCCTTCCCAACTTGCTGTTTCACTTTTATTGTTAACTGTCAGGGGTTAGTTTTTCAACTTGTATTTATCTGACTATTTAATTATTTTATATTCCACATATTAGTGACACCATCTATATTTATCTTACTCCTTCCAACTTCTTTTACTTTAGTGTTATCCTTTCAGGCTCTATCCATGTTGCCTCAGATGTCATGAATTTATCTAAATCAGTTAAATTTTAGATTACCATAGCCTTAAAAATGTTTAAATTATGCTATATACTTTAGTAAGAACTTTACAATGGCCCTTTTTTCCTTTGTCATAGGCATATTCAGTGCTGGGTGTTAATGTTTCAGTATTTTGAATACATAAATATATATTAGTGTTTGACCTAGCATAGTAGAAGCAATTTTAGAAGATTTTAATTGTTCTTCAGAAGGAAATAAAGGGGCTAATGAGACTTAGATAAGTTGTGTCAGTAACCTGTTGTTACTGTTTCATCTAATAGTTTTTTTTTTTGATAATTGTTTTCTTTTATTAAAATTGTTTAGATTGTGATTCTGTAACTGAATCACTGGCAGTGTTTCCAACCATTGTTACCTCAATTAAAATAAAATTTATCTTTTGTCACTATTATTAACAGTTGTTTTTACATTATAAAAAGTAAGTACCTCAGAGAAAAATTAATTATTTTGAAATAAATATATTGCCAATAAATGTATGTATATATTAATGGATTTGGAGCAGTTATGTGTGTTTCTAAGTATCATGTCTATTTTTAAGCCTATTTGAAAGTTACTTTAGGAAATATTCTCTCATTCAAAGTAAAAATATTCTCTATAGTAACTGTCAGATGTCTTCCATCATCACCCATCTTTATACTGACGGGTAGCATTTTCTTAGTGGTTTGTTCCTTTGTGGAACAGTTACGTTTGTTAATAAAATTATTCCAAATTAGCTAAAAATTAAATGAAGTATAATTTTTCAGTAATTGATCTTTCCTTTGAAACTGTTCTCTCAATCCCTTATAAGTATTTACAAATAATAAGTAGTAGGTGTAGGGCCCTCCCTGGTGGCTCAACAGGTTAGGACGCAGCACTGCAAGCTAGCAGCAGCCGCGTCAGTGCAAGTTCGATCCCCAGCCCCAGAGGTGACCCACATGGCAAGGCAGACCTCTCCTGTCTAGCCTGGTGCTCCCCTCAGTAGTGTACTTGGTCCATCTGCCTGTTCTGCTCCCCACTCTTTCCCTGGTGAATCCTCTCACTGCCCCTTCACCTCTGGCTTGTATCCCAGTTCTGTATGAATAAATAAATAAATCTTAAAAAAAAAAGAGCTTTAAAAAAAAGTAGGAGATGTAATCAGATTGGACATTGTCACATAATACTAGAGAGAAACCTCTACCTTTCTATCTTCTCATATAGGCCAGTCACCAACTATTTTTGAGAACTATTCTTTGTGTTGACATTGTCCTGATTATATGTTTAAGATGTGGTCTTTGAACCTTATTTTGAGGGCTATGTTAAAAACATTAGTTAAATTGTATAATTTAGTTTTCTACATAATAGTAAGTATGTAGTAATAGGGCTATATAAGTGATGAAGAAAGTGAGGCCTGGATGACACCTAATCAACAGTAGTAATATTGACAGTAAGATTTTAAGACCCATGTACTTAGTCCTTTACAGTTTTTCTACATAGAAGTAGAATAGAAGATCAGTCATATTGCTGGAATAATTAGTGACTAATGAGTATTTTCTGTATCATAAGAATGGTGATGTGGCTTCCTCAGGAAACAAGTTATTAACTCTGACATGTACATTTTAACCATTTGGATAAAATTATTTCTGGAACTATTACATTTTTCTAATTTTTCTCTAATTTCTATAACGTATATATTAACTATACTTTATAGCTAGAGCCATCATTATAAAAATTGATCATTGTGTGAGGGGAGGAAGACACTGTATTTGTACTATTCTTAACATTAGACTGCTCTTTTGAATGCTGTGTCATTGCTCTCAGCTCTTTTTATATTGCTGTTATTCCCATATTTAGCAGTCTTTTAATCCTTTATTTTTGCTGTATGGAAACTATGTAAGTGAACCAAGCTAAGAACATGCATTTTGGAGCTGTAATTTATAATATTACATGCTAAATATGTGATTATGAAGCAAATGGGTCTTCCTGTCAGTAACATTTATAACCTATAGTTAATAAACTTGGTGAGATATATATGTTGAAGTTTTATTGCTATTTTTGGAGTGCTTACTTTTGTATTTTGGTTGTTTTTCAAATAGTAATGGTCTCATAGTATAATTCAAAATAGGTGAAGTATAACTGATGTGGTTGGTATTTATGCATACAATATGGATATAGCAGTTATATGATAATGGATGGTAGCATCTATTACTATCAACACAAAATGTTGGAGAATACTGCTAATCTGGAGAATATTGCTAATCTGGGGAAATGATAGTTAATAATATGTTAATTACATGAAAAAGAGAAAAGTCCACAAATAAAGCTAAGAACATGAACTTTGCAGTTAGACATTTGGATTTAAATCTTGGCCTTGACCCATAGAAGTTTTCAACTTTGGTAAATTTGCTGTTACTTAGCATGTGAAAGATAACACTTTTTTGAGGAGTAAATTAAATATTTGCAGACCATTTATTATAGTTTAGCCACGTAAATATTAATAAATATTAGTTGTTGTTTAGGTAGTCAATTAAAACATAAGTGATGAGGACAGAGGTGTATGAGCTGGGGAAAAAGAAAGTAGTGCATTGTTTCAGTTTTGAATAAGTAAACTGGTTAAAACAGGAGGAATAGGTCATAAATAAAAGCAGGAAACTACTGAAAAAAAGAATAAAATGGATATGTCAATAGAATATTAGTCTTCACATTGTAATTATAAGATGAGATAAGTTATGTAAGGTCTTGAAAGCTAAGTGGAGGTGTTAGATGTGCTTCCTTTTTACATCTTAAAAATACATACGAGAGAATAGTAAATGACATTTAAAAATTTTTCATAGAAAAAAGATGACAGTTCTTAGAATTTTGACAGATTGAATGGAATATTGCAATGCTCTAGAAGCTCTATTTTGTCTCTTGTAATGTAGTTTTAACTCATCAAGAATATCATTGTCCTTACTTCTAAAATAATAGTTTTATCTGTTTTTGAACTTTATATAATGTAATTATACAATGTACTCTTATCTAACTTCATATGTCAAATATGTTGTATCAACATGTTGTATAAAACTTAATTTAATCCCAGTCTGTTTATGTGTATCTAGTTCATTATAATATGCATGGATTCTTTCCTTGTGGATGAGCAGTGAATTTATATAAGTGGATAGAAATAATTAAATGAAATTCTAACTTAAAAAAATTGCATCAGTAAGATTCAGCATTCTTTTTTTTAAAGGTAATAGAACTTATCTCAGCATAATAAAGGCATATATGAAAAAAACTGAAAATTTTCTTTAAGATTCAGAAAAAAGATAAGGATGCACGCTGTCACCACTACTGTTTAATTAATTTAGTATTAGAAGTTTTGGTTAGAGCAGTCAGACAACAACAGGAAATAAAAAGAATTCAGATTGGAAAAGAAGAATGAAACTTATCATTTGCAGATGATAGGATGGTATAAGTAGAAAACTCTACCAAAGCCTTTCAGAAACAATAAATGAAAACATCAAAGTTGCTGATTACAAAATTAACATACAAAAGTCTTTTGTAGAATCTTTATATGCAAACAATAGTAATGAAAAGAAATTGATAAAATTTTATTTACAATTGCTTCAAAAGAAGTCCTTAGGAATCACCTTAACCTAATAAGTGAAGGACATAGAGTAAAAACTCTGTTACTAAAGGGTGTAGATCATGACACAACGAGATGGAAAGACATTCCATTTTCATGGATGGGGATAGTCAATATAGTCAATAAAAGAAAGCTTTATGTTGTTTTAATTTTGGATGAGTAGGATGTGGTTAAAAGGAATAGGTCGTGACTAAAATCAGAAAACCATTTACTTAGAAATAAAAAGGATATAGAATTTAATCACTTGTATTACAAGTTATGGAACCCTAGTCTATCAAAAACAGTATATAAAGCACAGCACTGAGAAGCTAAGCCGCTTTGCCATGAGTTCGATCCGCACCTGCCCCGGAGGTGACCACGTGGCGAGGC